TAGGGGTGTGAATCTCTAGGCACCTCATGATTCGATTACGATTCAGAGGGCTGCAATTATAAAAAGATTATCGATGCATCTTGTTCTCTATACAGGATTTCTTGTTTCTCACTTTGTGAGGACTTAGTACTTAGCAAAGTATTACCAAGGTATTTGTAATGATCCATAATGAATTTACTTCCAATATCTTTTATTAATAAATCAAATGGAAGTGGTGTGGTTAGTGAACTGGAAGGCTCTCATTTACTGCTCTTGTTTGGAGCACATTAGACGCTGCTGCCACTCATCTGTGATAAAATACACAGTTAGGGTGATTGTGTGGCAGTGGCACAAGTTACAGCCATACCACCCGTTTTCTTTAGTGATTCTGTTTTGGTCTCATTGTAGAGAGTGGGGGGAGGGGGGTCGCTGTGTCACTGGTGTGTTAAATCTGCAATGAGAAACTGTCAAACACTAAAAAGTTGTGAAGCTGAGGTCAGCTTCTGTTTCTGATTTTCCTGTTCCACCTAAAATGGTGCTGCGTAAGTAGAGTAAGTCTGCGTTTTCGTTTACATTGTTTAGTCTATACTAGGACATCAACACACACTGAGACATACTGGACATTGAGTATTGTGGCTCCCAAGCTGGTTTGACTTTTGTTGAAAGGACAAAATGTTTCTTCTTATCATTTGTGTTGTGACTCCTGACCTAACCTGGCTTTAATGCAGAGGGAGCCGGTCAGATTTCTCGCTCATCCAGTTGTGTTTTTGTTATGTGCCCCACAGACTGTCCAGGAATTTGTGAATCGGTTCAGAATCGTCCATGTTAGCATCGCGATGCACCTAAGAATCTATTTTTTCTCCACCCCCAGTACTTAAACTCATTTTCTCCTTCAATAGCGGATCCATGTAAAGTTACACCATTTAAAATGTTATTTTCAATATGAGCAGGTCTGGAATGAATTAAGTGAATGAATTAACTAAATGAATTAAGCCGAGACCACTGCTGTTTTTAAACACGTCGGGGTCCTGAGGTTCAGATTCTGAGACCTGTGGAGCTGAATGTGATCTAAGAGGTGATGGTGGAGGCTTTATCTAGATGAGATTATCTATGTGAACTGTAGGGGTCTTTCTGAACCATCTACTACTGTTCTTCCTTTGGGTGCTAATCACAGGAGTGCTAGAACAGTCATCACTGGAGTCTAGTAGTCAGTTTGTATTAAAAACCCAATTCCATCTTTCCAGTAAAAGGATGGACGATTCCAGAAGAGATTAAAATCGTCTATAAAAGCCATGATGGTGGACAGACGGGTGGAGGTTTAAAATGCAGCTAAACTGTCCTGCACCCTTTCCTAAAGGTGGGATTGGGCCAGAGATAAACACAGTTTTTTAAAAAGTGAACAAACGTGTAAAATCACATTCTCCTATGTGATCACAGCCAACATGAGTAACTACTTTCTGAATAAATGATACTTATCAAGGAGGCTGGGGAGCTGCTGTGTGATGTCAGAGACCTTGGCACCTGAGCGGGAGTGGGTGACTGCTGAACGGTGTTTGATATCTCTCATGATGGAGTCACCTACAGCCAAGGTGGATGGAGGGCGAGTTGCTCTGTCAGAGTGGTCCCGTGGAGTGGAGGGGCGAGTCGACCGCGTAGTGAATCCCAGACCACCACAGACCACGGCTCTGTTTGACACGGGGTGGAGCAGCTCATTCCCTTTGGTCTCTCCCCCGAGCTGAGGCCAAGGATCTTCAACATGGGCTGGAGCAGCCAAGACTCTGGCTCAATAACAGAGGGAGTAGCGTTAGCCTGGGCTGACGCCCACATGAGCACTGAGATCCTGTCTTCCAGATCAGTAATCCTTTGGGTCAGACGAGCACAGCCGGCACAACCGAGCGAGGAGTTCAATGGAGGCTCAGTAGTAAAAGGTTCCAGGTGAAAAGCAGAGATTAAAAAACAGTTCAGCTACACTGAAAACACTAAAAACAAAACTCCCACTGAAAACAAAACTCCCGTTCTCTGACGTGCTCACCGTCGCTCACTCTGACGAGTCAGCTGTCCTGAGACTTTTTGTAAAAGGTCGCTTTAAATTGGCTACAGTGTGGCAGAAAACACGTTTACAGGTTGTTTGCTGCTGTCTGCTGTCTGCAGAAGATGGTAACGGGCTACTGCAGGAAACTTTTTAAACTTTGTGAAAAATGAAAAATGGAAACAGTGTGTGTGCATTTCATTTACTTTTCCTCTTTCAAAACAAAAAAAAAGGAATTTATTGCTGTCATTTCAGCCAAACCAGATGTTCATGCATTTGCAAAGAAATCTACAACTGACTCAGGCAAGCTGACCCTGACCTGCCTGGCCACGGGCTTCTACCCCAAAGACGTGGAGATTAAACTGAGGAAGTCCAACACTTCACTGCCTGAACATCTAGTAACATCTTCAGGAGTCAGACCCAATGATGATGGAACCTACCAGCTGAGGAAGAGTGTGGAGATCCAGAAGGACGATACAGCAGATTATGACTGTTATGTGACTCACAGCTCCATCAAAGAACCGATAATTAAACAATGGGGTAATTATATCTGTGTACCTAATGTATTTCTGGTCTTTTATAGTTTAGAATTAGTTTCTCAATGTAAATCTAAACCCAGTTTAACAGAATGGCAGATGTGCAGAGACTAGACCCAAAACTACATGATGAGGGCAGCTTTAAAGTATTTCCCCACTTTAATCAATATTAATATTGTTGTAAATGTTTTCTGTCCCAAATAGAGCCAGGAGAGCAGGGTTTGCAGGAATGATGTCTTTATTTGAAGATGTTCTGTTAATCTGTTAATCAAAGCTCAGCTTTGCTCTAACAGTTCGCTTTAGGTTAAGCTCACGTCTTACTCTCTCAGCCCTCAGCGCTAGACTGTCTCAGTACTTACTAATCTACATAGACCACAGCCAGGGGGCGAGCTCCGCCTTCAAAATAAGAGTCCTTATAGAAAAACCCAACAAATAAAGGCTGCAGAACAATTACCCCAAAATTACCATGAACACATTCTTGACCAAACTGCTACATATTGCTGGTGTTGGAACAAAACCTTGTATCTCCATTTTTGTCATTGTTTTTTGAGTTTTTGATATAATTTGAAAAAGCCTGTTTCCTTTTACATTTTATGTAAATTTAACAATGAATGCACCTTAAGAAACAGCCCAAAATGACTCAGGAAAAAAGTCAAGTAACATTGATTCATAGTAAAAGTACGGTAGGTTTTTTCCTTCTTCTGTAAAGTTACTATTTTGGAGATAAAATTGTTGTCAAGAAATTAACATTTTGCTGGCTGAAGTCAAGGTTTTGTTCCGACAGCAGTTAAAAACACACGTACGTATGAATGTGTAGATATTTTTTAGAAGTAGCTGCTACTTGCAGTTGTAGTCATTATTTTCAGTAATTTCAGTTCAGCCACATCTACAAAAACAGATTCGCTTAAAGGGAATTTCAGGGATTTTCACACTTTCTGCATAATTCTGTGTGTGAAATGTAAACAGAGTGATTCAGAGTGGTTTGGTGTGAAATGGTTCAGATGTCTTTACAGTGGTGGTGATAGGAACCAGGGGTCGCCATGACTACAACACAAATATAGACATTTTATTTACTATCCAGAACCACCAGTGAACCTACACGAGTCTTCTGAGTTTATATGGAATGTTGATGATGGAAAATAGTGGAAAATCTGAAATAATATGTTTTCTTTGGAGACTATTTTGCCTCACAGCGCCCTGCATGTATCCCTCTGACCTTAATAGATTAAGTATGTTTTGGGCCAAAATCTTCTCTAAACAATCATAAATCAATGTCTCAGTCATCAGGCAGTGTCTGGTTCCTGTCACCACCACAGGGAACGATTCTGACTCGGTAAGCTTATCTAGAACAGAGTGTTTCACACTAAACCACTCTGAATGAACCTGTTTACACCTGAAACAATTTTGATAGGAATTTTGAAAAATCTCTGGAATCTGCCTTTAAGCTTATTGTTATTCTTATTACTTTTATTATTATTCAAGCTTCCAAAATACATGATATGATATGTGATGTATACACAAACCATCAGAAATCTTAATGATACTGTGATATTTTTTCACGTTGTTCCATATTTTTTCTTTTTTCCTGTAGTTTTAGCTGTTGTCTGTCTATTCTTTGTTACTTTCCCCTCACGTTAAGTTGTAGAGTGCACAATAAAAGGCAGGCACAAATAGCCACTTGTATACCTAATAACAGAATGTATATGTTGTCCTGACATAATCTTTTACAGATGAACCAATAGATATAGGGCAAATACTCAGTGTAAAGTCCTGCTTGGGAAATTGTTGGTCAGACTGGGTTATGAGCAGCAGGCTCTTCAAAAAAATCATCATTCCTGTAAACACTGGTCTCCTGAACTCTCACATATGTCACAGATAAAGATTTACCACATCCTGATAACCACAGGGAAAAAAACACTTCTGCTGCAAGTCTTTGTCTTCTCAAGTCAGGAGTTGCCTGCTAGCCACCTATCTTTGAGCTCTGACCTGCCCCCTTGTGGATATAGCTTCATTTTCTAGAGAAATGGTGCTGCTCACAGAGCCGCTGTGTGTGCATCTGCAGGAGCCACCAAAGCTGAGCACTTTTCATACAGGTACAGAGTTGGGTTCTGTCACTGGGACCTGATGGAGGGCTGAAATTGAAGGAGTCCTCTGTTAAATCTCATACAGACTCCTGAGTTCTGATGTTGCGTAAGCAGCAGTTCAGTACTGATGCAGAGGCTCTGTAGACCTGCAGTAGTACACTAGACTGGGATTGGCTGTGACTAATATTTGTAGAGAATAATAATGTTTTCAGTAGCTTTATGCTGGTGCAGTATTGCAGCGGGTTGAGCAAAATGTCACCCCTGCAGATGAACGATAGAAGAGAGTCCACTTTAGATTTACAGCCTGTTTTCACTGTCATGTTAGAACAAAAATATATAACTGGTTTTTGTTCAACACTGTTCTGTTTACAGACAAACTGTGCTTTGACTGCGAGAGTTCAGGTTCAGGAATGGTTGGAGCAGTGATTTGTGGAGTGGTGGTGCTTCTGCTGATTTTGAGTGGGATCATCTTCGCCCTTATAAAGAAGGGGATAATTAGTAAGTATCGATTATGTCAGTATAAACTGTGCTCAAAGTATAAAGATTATTGAAAATTGACTACCAAAAGGAAAAAATGCCTCCTCAGGCTTCCACCTTCATCATTCATCCTTAAAATGAGATGCACAATGACAGGAAAAAGCTCATCACCAGGGAGATGTGTGATTAGGATCTTGTCATCATTAAAGAAAAACAGTGCACCTGTTTATTGTAAATTTATATTGGAGAAAAAAAAGAACTTTGCTCACAAAAAAGTTCTTGCCATCATAAAGCCGACAGTTAGGAAAAAAAAAATAGTTGTGAGCGCTGTCTTTTTGCAAGCATCAAATATTCTTTTTCCGTTATTTTGTCTAAACAAAAACATGAACAATAATAAAAATGCAATTCTGAAAAACAAACAGCAGTTATTATGCTTATTTTACATGTACGTAATATTTTTTATTTACCAGTCATTCTGGGTGCTGAAAAAGCTGTGACTGCAGTGACTGCTCTGCAAGTGCCACCCAAGTTCTATTTGAGTTTCATTCTTACTCAGCTAACTCTACAGTAGAGGCTCTCTATTAGTACAGCACTGCTGTGACAGCAGCTACGGCTTTACTGTTATATAAGACAGTAATGTTGCCTGTTTTAAAGCTCTTTTTTCTGTATTATTTTCTTGATTTAACTATGTTTCAATAAATTGAGACATTAATAGCTTCTCAAAGTCAAAGCAATGATGGATACATTGCTGGGTTTAAGACATACTAATCACACAATGTAGCTCTTTTTACCTATTTTCATTCATATTTTACTGAACTCTCCTCCAGACCGTAAAGCTAGTGGTGGTTCTGACTCCGGTTCAGACTCCGGTAATGATGTTCCACTTTAAAAACATTTGAGAAAAGCAATATTTGGAAATAATAAATGCTTGTAACTCAGTTGTGATGTGGTACAAGGTAAATGTTTCTAATAAAGTGAATTAATCTCTGTTTCACAGGGAACTCCAGGAGGTGATTTACACTGGAACTGAACTCCAGATTATCCAGGATTATAACCCTGACTTTCTTACAGCACAGAATCTTTTCCATTCTTTTATGAAGTCAGTACTTTTACATCACTGTTACGTTAAAGCTGCACTATGTAAGATTTGGGGATTTAGAGACCTCTCTGATGGAAATGTGTAACTGCACACAACATGCAATTTTGTAACATGGGTCAAAAATTGATTTTCTAAATTTTAATTTATAACGTAATGTTGACGGAACACAAAAGGCGGAACTTGGAAGTGGGTAAGTGCAGCGCCCGGACAGTCTGTGGCGACACATAACAAAAACACATATGGATGAGAGAGAAATCCGACCGGCTCCCTCTGCATTAAAGCCAGGTTAGGTCAGGAGTCACAGCACAAATGATAAGAAGAGACATTTTGCCTTTCAACAAAGTCAAACCACCTTGGGAGCCGCAACATTTAATGTCCAGTATGTCTCAATATGTTGCACACTTTGGAGCTGAGATTCAGCGTCCAGTGACACAGCGAACCCCACCCCCCACCCCCCCACTCTCTACAACAAGACCAAAACAGAAGTTATAAAATCACTAAAGAAAACAGGCAGGACGGCTGTCAAGCGCTGCTTGGACATTCATCACCACTGGATCTTATTTCACCCTAACAGTGCATTTTATCGCAGATGAGTAGCAGCAGCGTCTAATGTGCTCCAAACAAGAGCACTGAATGAGAGCCTTCCAGTTCACTTGCCACATCACTTCTATTTGATTTATTAATGAAAGTTATTGGAAGTAAATTCATTATGGATCATTACAAATACTTTGCCATTCTACAGAAACATCCACTTTTCTATCTATCCATAGGAGTCAATGGTGTTCGCGATCCTTTTGTATTTTATTTTTTCACAATGACCTCAGAATAAAGTCGGTCACACCAGTGACTTCAGCTAAAAGCTTCATATGAAATCACGAGCTGAATGAGAAAATCTCTGATAACTGAAAGACACAGTGGACTCACCATGTGCTTTTCTTCATAGATCCTCAGAAAACAGGTAAAAGGAAGTCAAGTGATGTCATCAGTGTGATTTGTACTTCAGAATAAGAGATTTTCTGTTACGCGGTAACACCAGTGACACGACTCCTGGGGAACTTTCATTATATATTTTATAATATTTATTTGGCATTTGTTTTCTTGATGTAATTTAAATCATATATTTCATAGTCATGTATAGATTATTGTAGTTAAAATTGCAGAAAAACATGTTTTTTACCTCTAAATATGGCCTCAGCCTTCACACATGACTGTGAGGACGAGCTCTTCTGTGGTGATTGGAATTCTGTATGATTGATTAAAAAACCAATATTGCTAAATTGAGGCTCAAGAAGGTGTAACTGTTAAAATATTGTATTGTTTTATTTAAAAATATAAGTAAATTGTAACCATAATATGTTTTTCAAGTGTAATATATCTGTAAACATTAGGGACACAAAAATGGACATTTCTGTAGAATGACCCAGATATAAATATGATTTAGTTATGGTTCTGCCTTATTCAAGCTATTCATTAATTTGCAGGATTTCTCTTCATGTGTGCTTCATCCCGCTCCAGCCTGCAGTGGGCTGGTTTCCCCCCGTTCACATGCTTAACACTGAAAATTAAACCTGCGGCACAAGATATTGAGGTGGGTTCTGCTGAAATCCGCAGGATTGCAGTCTTCTATTTCAGTTATAATCGGTAATGCTACCGATTATAGTTTCATTACATAGTGCAGCTTCAACAGAAATCCCCCATAATAAAAACGACATTCCAGTACTCATCTGTTAATAATACATACAGTTTAGAAGCTCAGAAGCATCAAAGAACAGTTTAATATTTAGTTCTTCCAATGTAGTACAGTGGATCTTATTTTAAGCAACAACTCAATAAATTTAAAAGCATTCTGATTTATGAATAGAAAAAGATTAATTAATTGTTGTAATTAAGGATTATTAAGTTTAATAAGTGTAACAGAATGCATTTACAAGGCGGATGGTAATGTCTGTTTTCTTTCTGTATGTTTTTTAGCACAAGTTCACCAAAGATTTATATATTTAATTTATAAACAAAAAAATATTCTTTCCATTCAAGCTTTTTTATGAATCCCTTACAAGCACTCAGTAAAACATCAATTTTCATAAGCTCATATGTTTATAGGTGGTTATGTAGACTTTCTACTGCTTTAGTATTGGACTACTTGTTATGTAAAGTCACAAGTACAACAGCTTCATTTCAAAAATACTGCATTTAAAGCGTTAAGACAAATCATGATCATATATTGTGTTTAAAGGCTGTACAGGGCTTATGAATGTAACAGTACTCAGGAATGTTAAATGGTCTGTGTTCAGTATGGACTCTTTACAGAGACACTGTGTCTGTATAGTAACAGTCTTGTGTTTAACACCACTGTACAGTGCAGGAGGCTGTTAGCTAGAACTGTTAAATGTGCAGGAAGACTGTCGCTATATTGAGTGATGCGAGCCATCCACTTCATCCACTTCAAGTATTTGAGTCTCTCATCTGGACGACTTTTTAGAGCAGCAGCGGCAAAAATAACGCAGACGCTGCAGACTCAATCTCCACCGTCCCTCTGATTACCTTCGTGTGTTAATGTTGATGAAATATTACAGTGATGGTGGTGAATAACGAGGAGACGGAGCTGAACGTGTGTCTGTTTATTAGGAGGAGTAACGTTAGCGCGCTCGGCTAAAGCGTTTGGGAAATGGAAACTGAAACTGGGGAGCGGTGACGCTCTGATAAACAGTAGGGGGCGCTCTCACCGTATTCACCACTTATAGTTTATCACACTTTAGTTCTGTTTGACCTTTTTTTTCACATCAGTAACAATGGCTAACATTAGCTGTTTGGCTAACTTGATTATTTTGATTACGTGTTTGCGTTTCAGCTGTGCGGATTTGGTCGGTTGCTAAATAACAGACATTACAGTTGGGTGTTGGCTTCGATCGTGTAGGTTAAGATTTCCTAACCTGAGATAAGATGCTATGAGATAAGATAAAACTCCTAAATTAAGATCAGATTTGCTTCTGTAATACGAGTTAGTGAAACATTTCGACCTGTCAGGTCTAAACTTAAGACTAAAAGATAGGAAGTTTCTGTAAAACAGACCCAGATTTTTTATTGCTTTTGAACTTTGAACGTTAGAACATTTTCCAGTCTTGGTTGGACAGTTCTGTTCTATTTCTGTTCAGTTCTATTCTGTTCTGTTCTATTTCTGTTCAATTCTATTCTGTTTTGTTCTGTTTCTGTTCAGTTCTATTGTTTTGTTCTATTCTACTCTATTCTGTTCTATTCCATTCTCTTATATTCCTGAAACAGACCTGCTGGATCATGGAAGTCTCTCATACTGTAATGTTTGAGTTAAATTTACATTATTGCAATAAAGCTGTTAAAACTGCTGTTGTAAACTTTTTTTGTTTTTCTTATCATTTGTATTGTGATTGTATACATCTGTGTTCTTTAAATACAGTGTGTTTACTGTACAACAGACATGATGATGCAGCTGCACTTCTTAGTTTAGCTGTGGTTGAGAATTCAATCTGCCACTAGATGTCGCTGTGTCTCAGGTTTAACTGAGGTTTATGTTAAGCCTGATGAAGACATGGTTTTACTGAGGTTTAGACATTTCCAGCTCAGGTGTTTCAATATTCCAGACTTAGGCCCTCTTACCTTCCATCATAATGCTATGTGGACTTCATGGTATGTTCTAATTAAATGCTGTACTGCTTAATTAAACACACTGAGGTGCTTTACTCAACTAGAGGAAGTGTTGTTACAGTCTTGTTTTGCTATATTTTCCTCCCACAGTCCAAAGACATGCAGCCAGGCTAACCTTCCCCAGGTGCGTGTGTGTGTGTGTGTGTGAGTGTGTGTGTGTGTGAGTGTGTGTGAGTGTGTGTGTGTGTGTGTGTGAGTGTGTGTGTGTGTGTGTCTGTAGAGAGGATAAGTACCACTCTGTAATTTTTTCAGTGGTTCTCAAATTAGATGGAGCTCCCAAATGAGTCCAAATGAATGGGTTTAATATGGAGCATTTGAGCAAAATCATAGTTTATAAATGCTGAAACATTTTTAATGTAAAAGTATACATTCATTTCCTGAACACAGAACAGCATAAAACACTTTAACATCGCTGTTAAATTTTTAAGAGCTTTTAAACTCGAGCTATAGGAGTTTAAAACAGCGCCTCATGTACGTTCATGACGCCAGTGAGCGTAAACAGTCAATGAGCTGCTCCGCTTGCCAACCAATCAGCACTCAGGATCAGTAATGTTAACCAATCAGCACTCAGGATCAGTAATGTTAACCAATCAGCACTCAGGATCAGTAATGTTAGCGTCCTGCTGCCCAAAACCCGTTTGCTGTAGAATAAAGGAAACATACAGGTGAGGTTTCTCTGTTTTAGTGAAATCCATCCTTCTACTGTCTAAAACTAAAGGACAGTTCTGGTTCAGTGATTAGGAACTATTTTAACTCTTCATTTTAGCCGTTTAGCTCAGTTCACCCCCGTTCATTGAGGACTCACTCGCGGGCGCCCTCTGCTGTTCTGCGATCCTGTTTTTGACATAAGGGGGAAACAGGAAGAGGCCAGACTCCTCATTAACCTGCTCTGGTTAATCCCATTAAGTTAGTGGTTTAGGTAAACCCGTGTTAAACTGAGACTAAACTGCGGCTAAGTTATTAACAGAGCCATAGTCCTGATAGTTCTCGACGAAATTCAGCTCGAACTCGACTTTAAACTACTTGTTTCCCTCTTACCCACCCGTATTCAGGCACAGCCGTCCTGCGCTCGGTCTGATTGGCGGACTGCTGGAGAGTGAAGGGGCTCTCAGCCAATCATGACGCAGGAGGCGGGAGTTCTCCCGAATACGGGTGGGGAAAAAAAACAGAGTAATGGTAAACTAGCGGACCAGACTGACACCGTAGGAGAGAGGAGAGTCAGGAGAACCGACTCTCCTCAGCAGAAGATCATCCAGAGTGATTTTACTGATCTAGGTGGTAAAGGTGGTGATGGGGGCTCCGGCAGTCTGTGTGGTCTTTCTCAGTGGAGTGGTCGTCTCTGTTCTCGGAGGTGAGTCAGTTCAGACCCACTGTTTCTGCTCTGCACAAAACCTGATTAACTGCTAGTTTAGTTTCCTTCAGTGTCTGGACTGGATCTTTAACAATTCACAAAACAATCTAAATATTAAAATGTCATGGAAAATTTTAATACTTTATGATAAAAAAAATATTTAATGTATTGTGCAAATAACAATGTTTAATGATTAATTTCAAATTCCAAATTTCAGTGACACCGCTTTGATTAATAAACAGACGTGTTCATAAAGAGCTTTTAGATATTTAGGACTCCAGGAAGATGCAGATACAGTCAGCAGACACGGCACAGAGCAGGAACAGTTCCCCCTTATTCTTATTGATTAATAGATGATATTTGTCCTGCATCCATATGAAATGTTTTTTCCTGTCATGTGACGCCTGACAAATATCAATAAAAGAACAAGAATACAGTATTTTCAGTAAAACTGAAGTACATTAAGGCAAAATTCTGCTTTCAAACCAGCATCAGTTTGAATCTTCAGCCCCCGGATGTTTAATGTGGTTAAAGGAAGGTGATGTAACACAGTGGTAAACCTGCTCCTGTCCCAACTTCTTTGGAACATGTTGAAGGCTTCATATTTGGAATGAGCATATATTTACAGAAACAATGAACTTCATGAGATAAAACATCAAATGTTGTGTTTTTCTACTATTTTCAATTTAACAGGTCAAACGTAGTTTACATCATTTAATTTTTTTTTTTTTCAGCATTTTACATGCTGTCTAAACTTTTTTGGAATTGGGTTTGTACATTAAAGAAGTCTACTGACAGTCGGTGTGGAGTCTAATCATACACCCCGTCCTGATCGTACTTCCCCTGGTTTCCAGTCACGGTTCTCACAGTGTTATTGGATGAATCATACATATCAGAGCCGTCAGTCAGTAACGCTGAGAGGATCCTTAAAAGGCCTAGGCAGATGTATGTGAGCCTGACTATCTGTGAACTTAAAGCAGCATCATGTGAGAACTGGTCTTTTCAGTCTTCCATAAATAACACTGGCAGGGATGCCACTTACACTCTGATTTGGATTTTCATTGTTTTCCCATTAGTCGTTAGACTGTCTTACATCCCCTTTTCTCTTTTGGCTCTCACCTACGTGTAATAGCCAGTCCGAGATTTACTCTTGTCCGATCTCTTACTCAGTCACTCTCTCTTTTTCTCTTCCTCGCTTCCTCTGACAAGGTCTTCTTTGTTCTTTGGCAGGTGTTGCTATGATGCCCATGTTGGGAATACAGGGCTAGCTTCTTGTAGCTAGCTGGAGCCGTAGTTGTTGTGTGACGGGTGTCGTAAAGCCTTATGCAGTTCTCGCGAGACGTCTCGTGCTACTCCTCTAAAGTTACATAATGCTATAGCAGGCGATCTGGCCCAGAGTGGCAACGACAGAGACACCATTCTCCCTTTGATAAGTCAGTGTATCATCAAAATTACTTTGAAGCTCTTATTTTAAGGTATTATTTAAGGTATTATTTTAAAGAACTGTAACATAATGTTGCTTTAAGAAAGACGTCACGGAAGAGGAGATAAGCATCACTTTAGTGGAGGATGTTAGTGAATTATCTACTATGATCAGCATGACTCCGTCAGTATGATGTTGATTTTGAGATAATTGGAGACCTAAACATCGAGCTGGACCTTCTTTTTGAGCCTCTGTGTGTGCGACATTAATACCATGAGTAACATAGACTTAATAAAACAAACAAAAAAACTAACCTCTATTTGTTGGTATTATCATGTATGTAACGCTCATTATCTATCAAATATATTCCTAAAAATATCGCTAAAATGGCAGAGCAATATCACACACCAGTACAGGTGATATATATCGTCCAGCACGAGTGTGAAGTGTTTTTTGTGTTGAAGTGTCTGAAGGGTTTTTTTCATTTGTTGTTTTTTAAGGAAATTTTTACATCACATATGAAAACTGTTTAATTTACTTTTTCTTACTATTCAAGAAAATAAATAATGTTTTACATATTTTATTTCATAATTTAATATATTACTGTGTAGCCTGGGTATTTCTCACTATGAGTTGCTTCAAAACAGTGAGTGCATGGTGTGAACTTAGTAACCAAAAATACTTGAAAAGAGGTTACAAAATTTACAGAAGTCCTCATGGAAAATCCCAAGATCTGCTGTGGAAACAGGAGAAAATGACCGTAACATGTTGTACTTGAACCTGTTTAACTACTTTGTTGCTTTTTACTTGTTAGGTTGAGATTCGTGTTCCACTACTTTTATTTTACAGCTGTGTTTTCGACAAAAATTTTGGGAGATATTATGTTTCATTTATCAACATGTTTTCTAGCACCTTTTTTTTCCATTTCCCCTCCAGATCAACACTCTCTATACTATATTTACACCGCGCTCTCCAAAGATGTCCCTCTACCAGGGATCTATGAGTTCACAGCACTGGGTCTGCTCGATGACCGGGAGATCGACTACTACAACAGTAAGGACCAGGTTAAGGTTCCTAAGCAGGACTGGTTGAAGGAGAAGATGCAGCCAGATTACTGGGACAAAGGCACCCAGTCTCGCAAGAGCAAAGAGCAGTGGTTCAAGGTCAACGTGGACATCCTGATGCAGCGAATGAGACACACAAATAATACTGGTTAGTTTCTTATAGCTCATTCTTCTTACAATGAAAATCATAAATTTATATCCACTGTATGATTCCTCTGGTTTTGAGCAGCTAATGTGTTTATCTTCACTGTCTTGTTACATTAACTCAATTCCAGACCTTCACGTTCTTCAGTGGAGACATGGCTGTGAGATCGATGAAGCAGAGGGAAATGTTAAATTTCTGAAAGGCATTGATGAGTACAGCTACGATGGAAAGGAGTTCCTCTCTTTTGATGACGAGAACATGCGGTGGATCGCTCCAGTTCCAGAAGCTGAGCCAACCAAAAGGAAATGGGATGAGGTGTCCATCCTGAACCAGTACACCAAGGGTTACCTGGAGAAAGAATGTGTGGACTGGCTCACCAAATTCATGGAGTACGGAAAAGAAGCACTGAGAAAACACTGTGAGTCCCAAAGCCCTTGTATTTTTCTTTAACATCTGAACTTCAGTGTTGGTGTAAACTAGTGTCTTATTTCCTGAGAGCATGATGAGAGTCTGCCGTCCTCAGACTTTTACTGAGAAGTAGCTTTAAATAAAGGAAAGTTTGGCCACAGAGCCACAGAGGAAGTAAGTGACACTCCTCACATTTGCCACAGCGTGCTGGTTAACTCTGTAGCAGATGGTAACAGGCTACTGAAGGATTTTTGAAAAAATAAACAGTGTGTATGTGAATTTTATTTTATTTCCTTTTTCAATAAAAAAGAAATGTATTGCTGTTATTTCAGCCAAACCAGATGTTCATGCATTTGCAAAGAAATCTACAACTAACTCAGGTGGACTGACCTTGACCTGGCTGGCCACGGGCTTCTACCCCAAAGACGTGATACTGAATGTGAGGAAGTCCAGAACTTCACTGCCTGAACATCTACTAACATCTTCAGGAGTCAGACCCAATGGTGATGGAACCTACCAGCTGAGGAAGAGTGTGGAGATCCAGAAGGACGATACAGCAGAATATGACTGTTATGTGACTCACAGCTCCTTTGAAGAACTGATAATTAAACAATGGGGTAATTATATCTGTGTAATTAATGTATTTCTGGTCTACTGAAGTTTAGAATTAGTTTCTCTATGTAAATCTAAATCCAGTTTAACAGAATGGCAGATGTGCAGAGACTAGACCCAAAACTACATGATGAGGACAGCTTTAAAGTATTTCCCCACTTCAGTCAATATTAATATTGTTGTAAATGTTTTTCTGTGCAAAATAGAGCCAGGAGAGCAGGGTTTGCAGGAATGATGTCTTTATTGGAGGAGAGCTGTGTTAATCTGCTGTAGCCCAGTCTGAGAGCAGTTCTAGCGTACAGTGTATTTCTCCTGCAGCTATTGGTTAATCTTAAGGATTATGTTAGGAGCAGGAGTGGTCTTTGCACTAAGTAAACCCCCATGAGCCAAAGGCCCCATGAAAATACAAATTAGATGTATTGTATGAGTATGTCTTACATCTTAAAATTACCATTCCCGAACTATATTAATATATATATATATATATATATATATATATATATATATATATATATATATATATATATAAACATAGTGATTATTTTCAGTCATTTGAATGCAGCCCCACCCCCCAGTCATGTTACATGATGACACAACTGCGTAAACACAGTCTGGAATAAACAAGGCAATTAAGTGATAATATACATTATACAGAGGAGGGAGGTTGAGAGGGAGAATTAAAGTGATCCAGATACAGTTGAGAAATGTAAAACCAGAGAGAACAGAGCTGCACAGGCTCAGCAGACTGTACATAATGTTTACGTTAATGTTAGTGTAGATAGCTCCAATGTTGGGGACTTACACAAAAAATCCATTACAGGACACTCATTACTTCTCTCAAACTGCAGGGATTATGTTATTTATTACTTCCTGGAAACAGTAAGTCTCATTCTCAGTAGTGTAATTCTGTGCAACTCTATATCACATTATCTCACTGTATCGGCAGATAATTCTGCTTGTTTGAAGCATCATTTCTTAAAACACACAAACCTCCAGAATTTCACATAATAAAGCACAGAATTTAATGTAACAAAATACTTGAAACAAGTTGAAAATATCCAGAAATAAGATAAATAATATTAGTATTTTAACAATAATCTTAAAATGAGGCATATTCGACATATCCTCTACATTTAAGATCAGTTCACTTGCCAAGATATCAGTTTTTATAGTGAATGTGTATCCACTCCTGTCTTTTGCCCAGGGCTCCAGACGTTCAGACGTGCTCAGTACAACGTATGTTAAACACAGACAGGCAGCTTTTTGTGTTACTAAATTACTAAAAACAACTACCATCAGTAGTTGAAGTGAACATCTGCTAGCCATGTAATCAGTCATTGGTGTGCTCTGCAATTCAAAATCAGGAGGAAGTAACTGAAAACAGAAAGTAAATAACTTAACTTCAGCTGAACTGAAGAAAGAAAATAAAATAAATCATTATATTCATAAGTACTGGTATATTTGTCTTTTAACACCACGCATGAACCTCTCTGACCTAAATAGATTAAAGAAAAATATATTTTAGGACAAAATCTTCTCAAAACTATTGTAAATCAATGTCTCAGTCATCAGGCAGTGAATTCATAACAATTTCATGTAGTAACTTTCTGTGAGGGAGCTTTTAGAGGTGGACGTCTGGTTCCTATCACCACCACTGTGAACAATTCTGACTCAATAAGTTTCTCTAGGAAAATTTGAGGAATTCCCATTGAAGCTTCCAAAATGGTTTTATTGGAAAAATATACACCACACTTTAGATTTACAACATAAATATACAACTCTGTGATTATTGTTCATCACTGTTCTGTTTACAGAGAGAAAGTGCAGTGACTGCGGGAGTTCAAGTTCAGGACTAGTTGGAGGAGCAGTTAGTGGAGTGGTGGTGATGACTTTGCTGGGTGGGATCATCTTTGTCCTTATAAATACGTGGATAACTGGTGAGTATAGACTATATCAGTACAGGTTGTGTTCGAAGTAGAAAGAATAAATATTAAAAATGGACTGTTTCTTACTACTCCCAAAAGAAAAACATGCCTCCTCAGGCTTCCACCTCAGCATCTTCTTCCTTAAAATGTGATGCACAATGAGGAAAAGCAGCTCATCACTGGGGAGATGTGTGGTTAGGATTCTGTCACCATAACAGAAAATCTTGATGTACCAGTTTATTGTAAACTTATATAGGAAAAAATAAAACAGTTAATCACAAAAAAGATCTTGTCATCAAAAAGCCAAAAGTTAAGAACACGATTGTGAATTTCTGCTTGGTCAGTGTGAAATAAGCCCCTCCTTGTTGGCTGAAGGAGGGGCTTATTTGTTTATATTTATGGCATCGTGTATTTGATGTTTTTATTGTAGTGAGCTCAGTCTTTTTGCCAGTTTGTCATTTTTTTGCCTAAATAAAAACAAAGGCAATAACGAAAATGTCAGTCTGAGAACCAAACAGCATTTAATATGTTCAGTTTACATAAGAATTTTTATTTATCTGTCATTCCAGGTGCTGGAAATGTTGAAACTGTGGTGTATTATGAGCAAGCCAGTCAAAAGGTCAGTGCCACTGTGATTTTGTTGTTCTGTACTATTTTGTCATGATACATAATGTAGAAACTCTACTGTAGAAGTGCCCTGCTAGTACAGCAGTGCTGCAACAGCAGACAGTTTTACTGTAATATGAGACTGCATTTAAAGAACAGCAACAGTGTCTTAAACAGTGTCTGTTTTAAAGCCTTTTTTGATTTTTTTTTTGGTATTATTTTCTAATTAAACTAAATTCCAATCAAATGAAACATAAAATAGTTTCTTAAACACAAAGCAATGATAGATACATTGCTGGGTTTAATACATACTGATCATATAGCTCTTTTTACTTTTTACTGGTGGTTCTGACTTCAGTTTTGACTCCACACTAAAAACATTTAAGTAATCTGTGGAATTAATGACATCCACTGTAACTCAGCGGTGATGTGCCCTTATTGTGGCTCAACCGGCAGGAGCTATGACAACATGAAACCAAACTTTGATGGTTCATCTGACTCTGGGAATTTCTCTCCTGGATAAACATCTAAATATGCTTTCCCATGTTGGTCAGTCACAAGCAAATCTACAGTCTGATTTCAGGTTTCATTTTAAGGTTTTTATTGTATAGGGAAATTTCTGTGAATATTGACTGAAAGAATGGCCACTGAACTCTGCAGACTGAGCAGCTGATGCCATTTTTATCAAGAAAGCTGCTTCGGTTTTTGTGGCCCTTTTCTCCAGTAACCAGTTTTAGTATAGGAAATGATGCAGCAGCAGCTCAGAGAGGCTTAAACCAGAGAAAATAAACACACTAACGCTTCTGATCAGAAATTCAGCAGTTGCTTCTTGTCTTGCTTCTTCTGTGGAGCCGAGTGTCTCAACAGCAGGGTATTCTGAGAATTTGACAATGTCCCCATAAACTCATTTAAATCTGCCACCAGAGGAGTTAGACTGCATGAGTATTCACATTGGCTAGAGAGAAATGAATCAGCATCTGAACTATCAGTGGTCCAGTGTTTTGTATAACTGTATAAAATATGAGTAAGGCTTTGTTTATTGTTGGACGTATTGTTATTGTATTGATTTTTTTCCCAGTCAGAGTTCAGAGTTTTGTGGGCTAAAAATGAAATGGCTGTAATGTACTGTGTTAAGACTGCAGGCTACAGTTACTAGAGCCTATTGATATTAGGCTGTTAGGCTGGGCTATATTAAATTGTAATTTATTGATGTGAAGCACCTCATAGACCTGGCTTGGACTCACACCTTTAGCAGATTGAAAATTAAGAGCTCTTAGTGCTTCATAAGAGTGGTGCTTCACATAAATGACCCTGTCTTGTTTTTACAATTCTGACATAACCACATCATAATCGCTTAAGCCCCCATTAATTTGTGGAAGGCTCCAGCTTTATCTCTTTAGAAAGCTCTTCCACAATAACAAAGTGCTGTTTTTCACTACTATAGAATGTTTTTGAGGACAGAAAACATACTGTTTCTAATAAAGTGGCCAGTGAGTGGAAGCACAAGGTAGGTGTTTGTAATAAAGTGGCCAGTTAGTGGAAGTACATTGTAAATGTTTCTAATAAAGTGGGCAGTGAGTGGAAGCACAAAGTAGGTGTTTCTAATAAAGTGGACGGCGATAGCACATAACGATGATTTAACCTCTGTTTCACAGGGAACTCCAGGAGGTGAATTCCACTGGGACTGAACTCCAGATTACCCAGGATTATAACCCTGACTTTTCACAGCACAGACTCTTTTCCATTCATTTATGAAGTCAGTACTTTTACATCACTGTTACGTTAAAGCTGCACTATATAAGATTTGGGGATGTGGAGACCTCTCTGGTGGAAATGTGCAATTGCACGCAACTTGTAACGTGGGTTGTGCATCAGACCCCTTCCCCAGCTGGATGAATCTGATGACTGAAAGAGAGTTTAAAGAGAACTCAGCCAAAACTTGGTGAAGGTCACATCTTGTGAGGATGTGAGTGAATTGTCCACTATTGTGATCATATGATCATCAGTGTAATGTTGGTTTTAAGATCATTTGAGGCCTAAACATCGAGCCGGACCTTCTTTTTGACCCTGTGCATGTGATGTTAGTACGTAAAGATGTGAGATGTGGTGTGAAAAACTCTCCACCCAACACCCCTGACTTTTAAATGACTATTTCAGGCTTTACAGGGTGACTTACAACAGTGCACACTCACCATATTTCAGCCTAATTTTATTCTCCTCAGTCAGTAGAGATACTGCTTTCAGTTTTAACAGAAATCCTCTATAAAAAGACTACATTCCAGTACTCATCTGTTAATGATAAACATACAGTTTGGAAGCTCAGAAGCATCAAAGAACAGTTGAATGTTTATTATATTTATTATATTTATTATATTTATTCCAGTGTAGTACAGTGAGTCTTAGTTTAAGTAACTGAGTTTTGATTTATAAATGGGAAATGATCAGTCATCCTTCCTATCAAGCTTTTTTTAGGAATCTTTTTAGCAATATCTGGGTAAAGTGCATCAATTCAGTACGTTTATAAGAATGCATGGATAAGGCAGATGGTTATGTGTGCTTTCTTAGGTTTTTTAACAAAAGTTCACCAAAGATGTCTCCAGTTTGATTTACAAAAATCTTTTTATTCCATTCAATCTGTGTTGTAAATCAGCACTATCTGAGTAGAACATGTCATTTGTCTTAAGCTGATAAGCTCGTGTTTATAGGCGGTTATGCAGACTTCCTTTCTGTTATATTTGTGCTTTTAATTGATTTATTTAGCATCTGTTTTAATCATGAACTGATTTTATTCAGAGCACTGCTTTAGTATTAAATTACTTGTTATGTAAAGTCACACGTGCACCAGCTTCATTAAAAATACTGCATTTAAGTGTAAAACAAAGGATCATATATTGTGTTTAAACTTAAGACTGTAAAGGGCTTGTAAATGTAACAGTACTCAGGAATGTTAAATGGTCTGTGTTCAGTATGGACTCTTTACAGAGAGACTGTGTCTGTATAGTAACAGTCTTGTGTTTAACACCACTGTACAGTGCAGGAAGCTGTCAGCTACAATTGTTATATCAGCAGAAAAAATATGGTAAACAGTGAATACAGTCTGCACAGGAAGACTGTCAGCTATACTGAGTGATCTTAGCCGTCCACTTCATAAAGTGTTTGAGTCTTTCATCTGGACGACCTTTTATTAAATAATCTCTGTAAAAGATCCAAACTGAACTAACTGAATGAAACTAGATGGGTGTATTAGAGGTTTATTACAGTTTACTGTTTATATGTTTTATCATATGCCATATGACAGCTTGTATCTCATCTATGATCTCTGTACATAACCATAATTATCAGACTTTATCATACTTTATTGCAATAAAGCTGTTAAAACTGTTGTTGTAAAATATTTTTTTATGATTTTATTATTATTTTTCATTATCTTTTATATTGTTTGTTCATATACATCTGTGTTCTTTATGTACTGTTTAAGGCATTTTCAGCTCAGATGTTTTAATATTACAGACCTAGGCCCAAATACCTTCCATCATAATGCTATGTGGACTTTATGGTATGTTTTAATTAAATGCTATACTGCTTAATTAAACAGACATTGACAGGCACACTCAAGTAGAGGAAGTGTTATTAGGTTGTCAGGTTAGGCCTGAAATAAAAAGGCTTTTATTGTGTGCTGTGAGTATAAATGAACTGTTAGAAGACAATTTTGATCTTTGTTTTAAAAAAATGACACATTTACACCGTCATTAGCTTAGCTATTGTTCAGAATTTATCGAGAGTGTAAATGTGTATGTCATGAGCTTTGTGTTAAAAATTAGATTTTATAGATCTGATAGATCAGGATAGGATTTTTTCACAAATTTGTATTAATGAAGCAGATCTGATCTTAATTTAGGAATCTTATTTTACAGCATCTTATCTCCAGTTAGGAAATCTGAACTTACTCAATCAAAGTCGACAATCAACTGTCACCCCCTGCTGTTTATCAGAGCATCGCCGCTCTCCAGTTTCGGTCTCCATTTCCCAAACGCTTTAGCAGAGCGCACTAACGTTACCTAATAAACAGACACACGTTCAGCTCCGTCTCCTCATTATTCACCACCATCACTGTAATATTTCATCATCAACATTAACACACGAAGGTGATCAGAGGGGCGGTGGAGATCGAGTCTGCAGCGTCTGAGATCTTTAAAACGCAGAGTTAGAAAAGAAAATCATCTCACAGTGAAAGCAGCGTTTTACAGTAGAAATAAATGGAGCTCATTATGCTGGTAGTGAACTATGCTGCTGACTCAGCTGCCTAAAAACCATAGAAACGGACCTTAAACAGAAGTGAGGACCCTGTTGGGGTTCATCCTAAAGTTAGGACAGGATTTAGGAGGTTTAGTCTAGTTAGGATGTTTGTGTGATGCTGTTTTCTTATCTGGAGTTCATGATGAGATTCTAAAGTTCGGAGCTGCTATTCTGGAATAGCTACTGAACTAAATTCAGTCCTACTGAACTTACCAGATAGGATTTCAGAGTTAAGATGTGTCTGTAATTCAGCCCCAGCCTATTAATTTCCATTGCTGCTAACCAGCATACCAACATTAAAAACAGAGCATATGCTGGTTCTGCTGGTGATCAGGCATGCTGGTCTATGCTGTTTTTCTAGCATTGTTATCACTGTGGAAACATATGCAGAAGAAAACATGGGAACAAAAATGTGACTGAACCCTCTGCACACAAAAAACACAGAAAACATGTTAGCCATCTTATCAGCGTATGAAAAAATAAATACATTAAATTGTATTCACAGGAATGAAAATGCATGAAAGAGTACTTAAAACATTTGTGGAGAGTTGAGCTTACCCACCCAAGGCTGCTCTAAATCTCCCAACCCCTTGTGCACTCTCCTTCAGTGTCCCAAACTCCTCAGTCACATTTCAGCAGTTTTCAGGTCTCTAGTTTTAAAAGCTCAACAGACTAAACAAGACTCCATGCACTGCAGCCACGCCCCCATGAGAAGTCTGCTTACTTAGGGATCCCTAACCTCATGTGCACAGGCCGCAGCTGTGTGTGAAACCCCCAAAGATACTGGTCTAGCCAACCCTGTGTTACACTGAGACTAAATGGTTTCCGGTTATGGTAGCTTGCTAATCTCTGCTACTTTAACAGCTAAATCCTTTCTCAAATCCGTATTGGGGACTGCTGTACACCCAGTTTCATTAGATGAACCAAGGCTATTGCCTGTGATGCAAAGAAAAGCAAGCCTAGTCCATAATACAACACTTCAGTCTAAACTACTGAACTTTGCATTGCCAAGCGCCAATTCCAAATCTGCTGCTAGCGCCAAAGCAACTGATACCAACAGAACAGCTAATGCCAGCACGGCATCTGAGGATACAACGTTCGAGAGTCATAACTACGTGTTTTCCACCAGATTCAACAGTATTTTGTCCGAAAGGAAATGGGATGAGGTGTCCATCCTGAACCAGTACACCAAGGGTTACCTGGAGAAAGAATGTGTGGACTGGCTCACCAAATTCATGGAGTACGGAAAAGAAGCACTGAGAAAACACTGTGAGTCCTCAAGTCCTTGTATTTTTCTATAAAATCTGAACTTCAGTGTAGGTGTGAACTAGTGTCTTATTTCCTGAGAGTAATAAAGTAACGTTTGGCCACAGAGCCACAGAGGAAGCACATGACACTCCTCACATTTGCTACTGCGTGCTGGTTAACTCTGTAGCAGATGGTAAAAGGCTACTGAAGGAAATAAAAAAAAAAAAAATAGTGTGTATGTGCATTTTATTTCCTTTTTCAATAAAAAAGATTTTTTTTTAATTGTCATCCTTTCAGCCAAACCAGATATTTATGCATTTTTCACACTAAGGGCTGGCTCCACACTTAGATATACTGTACGAGTATATCTTATGTCTTAAAATTACCAAGTACACTTTCTTGAACTATATATACATATATATATATATATATATATGTGTGTGTGTGTGTGTAATAAATATATATATATATATATATGTGTGTGTGTGTGTGTGTGTGTGTGTGTGTGTGTGTGTTTGAAGTAGTATTTTCAGTCATTTCAAAGCAGCCCCACCCCCCAGTCATGGTTGTAGTGGACTGTTCCATGTTGTCACACAACTGCATAAACACAGTCTGGAATAAACAAGGCAATTAAGTGATAATATACATTATACAGAGGAGGGAGGTTGAGAGGGAGAATTAAAGTGATCCAGATACAGTTGAGAAATGTAAAACCAGAGAGAACAGAGCTGCACAGGCTCAGCAGACTGTACATAATGTTTACGTTAATGTTAGTGTAGATAGCTCCAATGTTGGGGACTTACACAAAAAATCCATTACAGGACACTCATTACTTCTCTCAAACTGCAGGGATTATGTTATTTATTACTTCCTGGAAACAGTGAGTCTCATTCTCAGTAGTGTAATTCTGTGCAACTCTGTATCACATTATCTCACTATATCGGCAGATAATTCTGCTTGTTTGAAGCATCATTTCTTAAAACACACAAACCTCCAGAATTTCACATAATAAAGCACAGAATTTCATGTAACAAAATACTTGAAACAAGTTGAAAATATCCAGAAATAAGATAAATAATATTAGTATTCTAACAACAATCTTAAAATGAGGCATATTCGACATATCCTCTACATTTAAGATCAGTTCACTTGCCAAGATATCAGTTTTTATAGTGAATGTGTATCCACTCCTGTCTTTTGCCCAGGGCTCCAGACGTTCAGACGTGCTCAGTACAACGTATGTTAAACACAGACAGGCAGCTTTTTGTGTTACTAAATTACTAAAAACAACTACCATCAGTAGTTGAAGTGAACATCTGCTAGCCATGTAATCAGTCATTGGTGTGCTCTGCAATTCAAAATCAGGAGGAAGTAACTGAAAACAGAAAGTAAATAACTTAACTTCAGCTGAACTGAAGA